AAAAGCTTCCACCTTTCTTATCCAGCTTCTTCCCTAAAGGGTGGAAAACCTGCACAGATTCCAGCAAGTGCATGCCTAGGCTGGTGTGAGGCATTTTAAGTACCTCCTGGCCAGTCACAGGTTGGTGTCTCTTGCGCTTCCTGTTAGGAATTGTTGGCATGTCTTCTGCCTTGACCTTAGGCTCTGACTGCTTCCTGTCAAGAGCTTTCTTCTCATTGTTGCCTTTGGTTTTCTTGGCCCTCCCTTTCCCATGGCCCTCATCTTGGTTGGTTCTGTTGGATGGCATCATTGGAGATTTTCTGTAGGACTTCTCAACCGTGTCCTTGGGAGCCCTGTCACTGGCTGCTGCACTAAAAACGCACCCTTTTCCCCCTGGCAGGCTCTTGAGGTCCATGAGCTGCAGTTTAGCCTCAGAAGCTCCAGTGATAGCCTCGGAAGCTTTATGTTTCTTTTTCCTCACCTTAGCTGAAGGAACCTGCACACCATTGTCTTGAATGGAATCAGTGTCTTGAGCTCCGATGGTTGTGAGCTGGTTGGAGTGATCAAGATCTTCCAAGGACTGGAGCACCTGGGGAAGTTGAATGCCCTCTACCAGGGCCCCAATATCTGCCCAACCCGGGCTGGACTCAATCCCCTTGTCAAGGGTCCCTGGGTCCTGGAGACTCGGGTGGCACTTTCCCAAGAGGGCATCTTCAGAACCAGGATTCTCAGGGATTGGATGCTCAGTGGAAGCCAGCAGCTCGGGAGAGTCAGGGGACGCCAAGGAGAGTAAAGGCGGATCTTGGGTGCCTATAAAAACCTTGTGGGCATCCAGAGGCTGTAAGCTCTCGCTTCTCATCTCATCCCAGTTCTCCTTCTCTGGTTGCTCCCAGCTTGAATCCAAGGTCAAGGAATGAGTAGAATTCTGCACTGGAGCTCCCACTGAAATGCCCCCAGACTCAGTTGGAGGTCTTCCCTCAAGCAACTGGGTACTTCTGCTGCTGCAGGACTCCATGATTTCTGGAAGTTGTGACACACACCCTGCCTGGCTCAGGGCTTGCCATCCCACATATGTCTCTATCGCTGGGGTCATTCTTTTTACTGCAAATGAAACAAGGAAATCAGTCTTTTCCAAGTTAGTTGCTCCCCCTTCACACCAGCACAGCCCTCAGGAGCCCACCAAGAGTCAGCAAGGCCTTCCCATTCCCTCTCCTTAAGGCCCATGGACAAGACCTTGGTTTATAGCTAGGAGTTAACTGTTCTTCCTGCTTATCACCTGATGTCTTTCTTCTTATGGCTTTCTTTTTAGGTCCTAGGATTGTTCTTAGTGAAAGGAAACAAAGTGATTTTTATTTCAGGATATATTTTGGTACAGTGGTAGAGTATTGTCTACTATGCACAAGGCCCTGTGCACTATATACCCTCTACACACACACACACACACACACACACACACAAACACAGAAGTGCAAGTGCCCACATGTGTGCACTCTCACAGATAGAGCTGTTCAAGTGTAGCTTCCTACTCTCAGATACACTCAGTACTCTCCTCTCTTGCTCGTATAAGTACACTTCTTGCCTTGGACTAGGAGAGATAAGGTCTTACTTATGCAAAATGTGAGCAGGACAGGTACTGAGGCACAAGCTTTGGACAGGATCTCTGAAATATAAGGTATTCCATCTTGCTGAAAATGAGGGAAATGAAACTGTCCTCACCACCATAAACTTGGAAGTGTCTTCGAAAGGCACCACAGCAGTAGAAGACCAAAGGGAATTGTTTATGGAGGGCTGCTAAAGGGGAACTCATCCTTAAGAGCTCTGAGAAGTGTGGCCTGCCTCAGTGGCCTCCTGGGCTGCTCTTGAGCAGCAGGGATGGCCTCTATGGTGTCCTTCATTCCCTACTTACAGAGTCTGGAAGCAGAGCCCATCTCAGGCCTGAAATTCTGCCTATCTCTATGCTTACCTGTACTCAGCAGGAGATTCATCCCTTCTTTTTTTTTTTTTTGCGATTCATGCCTTCTGCACAGTAGTACCCTGATCCCTTTTGCTTCTGCTCTCAGTACCCACCTTGGAAACACATTTTCATGTTGGCTTGCACAGATCCAGAATAGCAGATGGCAGGAGAATCTGATGTTACAACATTTGTATGCCGAATCTCCTTGAACACCATTACTATCTCTGGCTGAGGGGCAGCAGCCCCACTGCCTGTGTGTGACAGAAACTCATATGGCTGCAGTCCTCCAAGCTCTGCAGATACCAGAGACCCCATTGCACTTTGATTAAGTAGTGGTAACCCTGTCCTTGGTTCGGAATGTATAGTGATGGTGTTGGCTGAATCAGGCTGGCAGATATCGATGGATAAATGGGGATGATGGTATTGGCATGGGCAGGCATAGATGAGGAGACAACTGTTGTGCTCTGGTTAGTGACAGACACCGTAAAGGTCTCCAGTGGTGGATACTTGCTTCCAGAGCCTGGCATGCCATCCCACTGCCAAATATCTGGATAGGACGCAACCAAAGAGGACATCTGCCTCTGGCCAGCAGCCTCTGAAAACTTACTTTCACTACAGTGTTGATAAGTGTAGGAACTGGCTATGACTGGCTGGATGTAGTTGACAGAAGCGGAGGGCAGCAGCCATGCTGAAGTGAGGGCTGGGGCACTTGATGTTAAGGGAACAGCCATGCTCCTGATGAAAGGTGATAGCTCCAGAGGACAGGAGGTTCCTATGGATGGTGGGATTTGGAAATTTTCTGTAGGAAACAAGAGAACCATGAAAACATGGGTGAGACCGACAAATTCTCACTATTTTTCATCACCAATATTATCTATCCTAAAGTCCTTGTAATCAGGATGCTTGTGATGCCAATATTTAGTGAGCTGCCAGGAATTACTTTCAGATGTTCCTTAATAACTGGAACACTTTGGAACTCTTTCCATGAGCTACCTACCTCCCTCTTGGGTCACTGGAGATCCAGTGTATCCTACCCATGTGTGCTTTGTGCACCCTGTGCTGCCCTTCAGCCTGTCTTCACGCTGACTCATGACCCTGGGTGGTGGATTTGGAGCCTTTCAGACCTAGAAGGTCCTTAGA